AGCTAGGTAGGGCTATTGAGACTGAGACTTCTTACTGCCAACCATCAGGACATCATGTATAGTGAAACTTTTGGAAATCTGAATGAAGAAGAACTTGCCCCAAATTCTAACCTATTCAATTTTGGCAAGTGGCACTGGAGTTTAGGTAACACTGGCAGAGTACAACAAACGTGTATTAGAGGCCTTGTCACATGAATGTGAACAGATCTTAATTCTCAGATGCTAGTATGGGAAAGTGTTGTCAATGTTTAAAACAGTGCACCATGTTCTATTAGTCTGTGTCTTAGATTCGTATAGAGTCAAGATGTCTGCAACAGCTGGGGCCATTGGAGAAACAAGTGAATTTATTTGAAAATATTCCACTATCAGTCTTCAACTCCTGTTAGATTTTGCACTGGGCATACAAGGCTGTTCTGTAAAGATCCTGCATCTCTTACTACTGCCTCCTATAGGTACTAGTATTTATTCAGGGCACAGATTTTCTTTTTTCTTCCTAGAATTCTATGCTTTGTGTTGGATCAGAAAGCACAGAATGTGGGAGAGACAGGAAAGCTGGTGACAGATAAATTTATGTGTCCCACTAGTACTTATCTATGTATAGCTGAATTTCATCTGGCACTTATGAAACAGGGAAATACAAGCATCAGTTCCCAGTGATATTCAGATGTGAAGGTAGCAGCATCAGTATGCTGAATTAGCCTAAAAAGTTTTGTTCACAAGATCATACTGGCTTCTTTCTTTCTCCTGCTGTAAACCTGGCCAAACCCTGTTATCTAATTTGGGATGCTTTCTCTTTCCAGGAGTCCAGTAGAAGAGTTTACTTGGGCATCCATATCTAACAGAGCCATAAAAGCTTGATTCTTTCCTTCATGAAAATTCTCTAACCTACTAAGATGGATGTATATGGAACTTGATCTCCATTAAGGACAGAGATCACTTGCCCCGTTTCTAATGATTTTTCTCCTTATGGCAGCTGTGCCTGAGAAAGTAGAGACAGAGCTGCACCGTACCATTAGCAAGGCTTAGCATTTACTTTCGATTCTGTGTGGCATAATGGCTGCTTGTGTCTCAAAACAATAAACTCCCAATGTTTTTGGCTGACTCAATTCTCAGTATCAGGCAACAAAGTCCTACATAATAGCTAGGGGAGTTATCCAGAGGGGCAAAGCTAATAACAATAATTTATCAATGAGACTCAGGGTCGGTTTCTCATTCTTAGAGATCACTTCATCAGTATTGTATACCCAATCTAGGCATTGAGTATAGAGCCCAATTCTGTCATCTATGGTTTTCACTGGGAATTTGTTTCTCTTAAGAAAATCTTCAAAAGAAGACTGGAAAATGTCGTGCTGTCCTTGATTGATATTTATCTTCTACACAGTATTATCAAATAGGAAAACATGCAGGGTATACCTGAAAACAGCCAGATCCAACTAATTTTCACCATGTCTACTACCACCAGGATACTGAAACCCACCATTATCGGTTACCAAAATAATTGGAATATCCTACTAATTATTCTCCCTTTATTCATCATATACTAATAAAAACTATTCTCCAAGTTGTCAGAGTGATCCTGTAAAACTAAGACAAATCTTGTCTCCCCTCCACTATCAATACATGGATGGGTCTCCATCACATTCCATGTAAAAGCCAAATTGCATTTTGAAACCTACAGGGCTATAAGCTGTCTGCCTCTCTCTCTCATCCCCATTACCTCTCTGAAAACAGCTCCTGCTTTTCTCTGCCTTGCTCACTCAGCTCCAGACATGATAGCATCCTCCTTGCTCCTCAAACATGCCAGCCTAAACCTGTCTTGGGGCCTCAGCACCTGCTGTCCCTCCATCTGGAATGCTCCTTCCCCAGACAGCTACAGGGTCAGTTCTCCCACTGCCTTCAGGTGAGACTCAAAAGCCAAGTTCTCAGTAAGGCCTTCCCTGGACACCTTATCTATCTAGTTTCAGCCTCCCTCCGGAAATTTCTATCCCAATTCCTCGCTTTATATTTTTCTATTTAACACTAGTCACTATGAATACACATTATAATTGCTTATTCATTTTGGCTACTGTCTATCCCCCACACTAAAATGAAAGCTCCATGAGGATAAGAATTTTAGTTTGCTTCTTTCATTCATTATCACATCATCAATATCTGTGCCTAGAAGAATGCCTGGCAGAGAGCCCACCTGAAGTAAGTATTTGTGGGGTAAAGATAAAACAAGTAAATTAAAAAGCAAATGGGATCAAAGCAAGTCAAAGGGGCAGTGTTTCCAGGGTGTAGCCCCAGTCACAAGTGCAAACGCTTCCAGGGAACAACTGTGCATTTTATTAGAGTGAAGCAGGCCAGCTGGGGGTGTGGCCAACTGGAGAGGGTATTCGGAATCTAAACTGGA